TTTTGATTAAAATACTATCTAATATTAAATATTCTAATAATTTTGAGATTTGATAAAATATATTATCTTAGGTAAAAAGAATATTAAAGATTACTTGCATAGTTTATATTTTTTTTCTTGAGTTATGTTTATTTATTATTCTGACTATTATATCAAAAATATGAAGTTTTTTTTTTTTGTAATTTATATAATTCTTTGAATTTTGATTATTTTGAAAATCACTTGAAATTGAAAATAAATTGTTGATTTGATATAACTTGTTTATCCTTATTTATTTATATTATTTTATATAATTTTGTGAAATTAACTAATTTATTTACAAATAATTCTTGTTTACTACAAATAGTTAATAATTCTTACTATTTGTTTATTAAATTAATTGTTGTTGATCTGTCTTTGTTATAATAAGTTAGTTTATTTATATATAGATTTTTAATAAATCTTATTATATTATATTTATTACTTGTTTTTTTATGATATATATTTATATAACCAAAGATCTATGAGTTTATAGCACAGTAGTAGTGCTCTCAAGTCACAATTACAAGGTTTAGAGTTCAATATCACATGAGGACCTAGTGAAAAATTAAGTCACAAGGTGATACAAAGATCTTATCTTCTCTATGATATCGATCATATGCTCCAATCAGGCAATAAAGAGAACCTGTCACTTATCATGCCTATAGTAAGAATAATTAAATCAACACCAGGTTTTATATAAAGCTAGCATAAGTGGCATGGGTTCTTTATATACAACTGATTCCAGATACCTTAACAAAAGTGAAGAAGAATTTCTTTTACTTATTGTAGCCATAATAAGACAAGATATAATACAAAGTTCAACAAATATGATTAAAAAATAAGTGGTATAAGGTTCCAAATACAAATTAATTGTCTAATAGATAAAAAAAAAAAATCCGATTACTCATAGAAATGGTCAAAAACATGCCCATAACAAAACAAAAAAATTCATCTTGGTGTGATGCTAAAAATACAAGACAAATTTTAATAATCAAGGCTATCAATTGAGGAATTGATATCCTTTACACAAGATTAAGCTTTAATAAAAGTAACAAGATAGGTATTAGACATATACAAGTCCCCCAAAAAATCTTGAAATACTAACAGAGTAAAACAGGAGATTTCATATAAGAGATCCTCAATATCAGTGATACTAGATATCTTAAACAAGTTCTTGATACATTAATTTCTCTAAATAAAGGATAGTAATAAGTCATCGGATGGATCATAGTTCTAGAAAGTGCCATTTCTAAATAATGAAGTAATATGATGGGATTATTTTATTAGATTGAATGTATAAAACTCCTCCTGATCTTTAACTTAATTAAAATTAAAATACAATTCTACATTAGATGGTCATATAGTTACTCCATCCTAATTAAGTGAAATGTAAATAGATATCTTTATACTATTTGTTGATTTGTAAATTCTTAGACAGTATAGATGATTACTCATCCCGATTGTCCTAAAACTCATATTGACTATAATAAAGTTTTGAAACTGGTACAGGAATGAGTTAACATTTAAAAAAAAAAAAAAAATTATATAACTTGTTTTAATATTTAATCAGGAGCAGTTATAGAATCAAGATATTTTACTATTTAGTTTTTAAAAGTTTTTATATTCTTCTAAGATTTACAGACTTTGAGTTTTTTTTACTTTATTAATAGAAACTATTGTTTATAAAGTTTTTTCTAATATTTAGAAAGAAAGTATAAATTAATATTGGCCTAGTAAAAGTTTGAAAAGTAGATATTAGATACTTTTAAATTTACTGAAAATTAATAAATTAGTTTAGTAATATAATTTTTAAAGCTTTTTTTATTTTTAAAGAAATTTTGTAAAGTATAGCTAAATATTATATTTGATATTTGATATTTAATTGTATGTTATTTTGAGTTAATTTTTCTTTTTTAAAAAAATTACCAAAAAAAAATTTTATTTTGAAAAAAAGAGAATCAATAGAAAGAGTTTTTTTTTTAAAAAAAATTAATTTATAACTTTAATTTAAAATTTATTTTATTATGAATAATTATATTTTTTATTTTATTTTAAAAAATAATAAATTGTCAAATAAATTGAAAAAAAAACAATTCAAAGTTTTTTAAAAAAAACTTTATTCCAATTAATAATATATTTTTAATAATAATTTATTTGATCAAAATATATTTTTTTATTTCAAATTATTTGAAAATTTTTTTATTTTTAATAGAAAAATCCCAATCTTTTATTAATATATAAATTTATTTATTATATTTTTAAAATTAGTATTATATTATAAGAAAATATATATAATTGGAATAAAAAAAATCATTTTTTAAAATTTGTTTGATTAAAATTAAAATAAAAAGGTTTAACTTTTTTTAAAAAAAAAAATTTTTTTTTTATTTAAAAAACTTATTAAAAATAAAGTTATTATTAAATTAATTTTGATTATCATTTCATATTATAATTATTTTTTATATAAACTTGATTAATTAAAAAAAACTTTTTATAAATTATTATTATTGTTATTAAAACATTATGAAATATATAATTGAAATTTATGAAGACTTGTTTATATTTTAGAAACTAATGCATTTTATATTAATTCATTACTTTTATTAAAAATTATATTATTTAAAAATTTAAGATCAAATTGAAATATATAAATTTTTTTAAAAAATTGTAAAACTAAAAGTTTTAAAAGAATATAATAGCTAATAAAAGAAGAATTTGGCTTTTTTCTATAGAAAATCTTTATTATAACTTATTTTAAAGTAAAAAGAATTTTTTTAAATACTTTATAAAACTTTTTTATTATTTGTAATAAAAAAATATGTTATTTTATTTTTTATGGTTATCAAAGTCAAGTTTTTGATTAAAAAAAATTACAAACAAAAAAAAAGAAATAGCAATAATCCTTAAAGATACTTTTCAAGTTGGTTTAATCAAAAAATAAAAAAATAAAAAAAATTTTTTTTTATATTTTTTTATTTAAAAAAATTTTTTTTAAAATAAATATAACCTAATTTTAATAATTGAAACAAAAAAGTTATTAATAACACAAGATTATATTAAAAAAAATATTTTTTATTGATTTTTTTGTTTTTTTAAATGTATCAACCATAAAAATCAAATCCAAAATCTTATATACTAAATCTAAATGATATATTTTAAATTTTATAAATTTTATTGCAATAAAAAATATTTTTGATATAAATAAATATCGTCAAATTCAATTTTTAACATACCACGTCTATTAAAACTTCGTGTTTCATAAAGTTTTAAGTAAACGATATTTCCATAAGTAGAATATGCTATTAATGTTTGTTTTATATCAATATTTATATCAATGTTTTTTTTTTTTTTTTTTGCTATCTTCAATATTAAACGATTTAAAAATCAAGGGTTATTATAGCCTGTTGATTCTCAATAAAGTGTACGCACGAGATACCAAGATTTTTTTTTTCGGAACGTTTTAATGCGAAAGGTAGCTAAATGAAATGTATAATTGTTTTTTATTTATTTTTTGTGAATGAATGAAATGTAATACCCCGTGCTTAATATGAATTCGCTATTATCGATTTTTTTGTGAATAAATGCTATGTGTGATTATCTTGTTGTCTTGTGATATACGCATTGTGATATAACCTTGTATGAATTATTATATGAATTATAATACATACACCAATATATAAAGTTATGTTATTTTAACTTCTATATTTATCACAACTTCAGGGTTATATAAATGGTACTTTAAAATTTTCTAATCAGGTTTTTTTATGCGAGGTATTGTAAATTCTTAAATGTAATAACCTGTATTAGATAAATAAACAAATAACTCAGATATAAAAGTGGTTATTAAACATGATTGATACTTCCGAGTTCCGACTTTTTTCTGCTTTTTTTCTCGCTGAATAATTTTTTGTTCGTTTCTTTCGTGTTTTCTGTTTTTGGTTGGGGGTTAAAGTGCTTGTGCATCTAAGCTTTTTTTTTCTTTTTAATACATTTGACGAAGTTTATTTGTGCATGTTATTCCCGACCTAAACACGAAACACATGCTCTCATAAATCAAATATATTTTGATTTTAGAGAAACATAACATAATTATCTTTTTTTTTTATTGTTCCCAACTTTTATTCGTCTTTACAAAGATTGAATATAAAAGACCACCCCCAAAAGAATCAACTTCATGATAAGGGTCTTAATTATTTTTTTTCTTTTCGTAAAACTACATGTCGCGGCACCATAGTATTGGCAACGCTTCTCAACAACAGCCTTACTACTCTACTTCTCTACCACCTATTATTACCGGCAACTATATTGCTCCACCTCTATCTCCCACAACTCACCCGGTCTCACGTTCGCGACACGAGCAATACACCACTTATCAACCACAACGTTCTCCACCAAGTTTTTCAACGATGACCACACTTCCGACATTACCTCCCATCAGCACACTCCCGTACGATAACTTATTACCACCGATTTTATCTTCAGGTCAACAAGGGAGTAGTTCCTATGCGTATAGAGGTCAAACAAATTCCGACGGGGTTGAACAGCACACACGTTACTCTGACAGCAGTAGTTCACATTCTTTGAGCACACCTGCTCCATATTCCGCTTCCGCTACTTCCTCTTTCTCTTCATTTCAGCAACCAACTTCACAATCGCCCCAATCACAACCACCATATTATCAGCAAACGATACCACCACCGCCACGATCACCACCCACATCATATTATCCTCAGCTGAATTATCCATCTTATTCACAATATCAACCACCATCCCCTCCGACCCAACAATCAACATCACGACGACAACCATCTTCCTCCTCCTCCTCCTCCTCTTCCTCCTCTCATCAAAGCCAACCACCATTTTTTTCACAGCAAAATTCACCATATCTATCACAAATCCCTCCTCGGAGTTCACATTCACATCAATCGTCATCTCAACAATCATCTCCATCTTCGTTAATCCATAGCGGAATACCACCAATGCGTCCATTCCAGAGAAGTCACTCTTCACAAAATGTCATATCCGAACCCTTCGTCACCGTTACACCAGAATTAAACAACCGACCACCTCGACGACGTAGGAGACCTCCATTTTCTTACTCCTCATTAATCGCTCAAGCTATTTTGGATTCGCCTGACAAAAGGTTAACCCTGCGCGAGGTTTATCAGTGGATAATGGGACGCTATCCACAATTGTACAAAGCGGATGACACCGGCTGGCAGGTTAGTCAAATAACGCCAATTTCTATTATTGAACAAAACTCGTTCTGGGGTAACCCCTGATCTAGTTTTGTAAGTCTGGTGAATCCATTTGTGGAAAAAAAAATTAAACCTTTTTTTTTTCCACAAACCTGTTTCTCCAACTTTTTGTGTGACCAATATGAATCATCCCTAACTTCCTACTAACAATTCTATATCCCTTTCCCGTAAATAACAAATAAATAAATCAAATAATAGAATACCATCCGCCACAATCTTTCGCTGAATAAATGTTTTAAAAAGGTTCCTCGGTCGGATACCGAGCTAGGTCATTCGACGTCATCATCCGCAGCTAGTAAAGGTAAAGGGGGTTATTGGACCATTGATCCCGAATACATGTCAGCATACCACGATGGAGTTTTCGCAAGGGGTGGTGTGCAAAAACGAAGGCCTGGTGAAGTTGGCTTACATCCAGGAATAAGTGGCAACGTAGGAATGGGTGATGATGATAGCGGTGGTAGCGATACCTCTCCTCCTGATAATATGGCTGGAAGATTAGTTGATGTGGAAGAGGATGGGGAAGGCGTTGGTCTTCACCATAATCATAACAATAATAATTATCACCAGATTCATCACAGCGGGATACCACCATTACAACTAGCGATGCCATCGGCAAATATACCATCGTCATTAATGACCCCTCCACCTACTGCATCGACTTTGATGCCCAACAAAAGCAAATCCGGCAAAATGTTTTATAAGAGGCACTCTCCGGAATCTAATTTTACTCCTGTTTCCCCAAACCTTGCTGGTACTAATGGAACGGGTTCCGGTAGATACGAAGTGTTTCACTTGGCGGATGCAAATAATTCTCTGAGAGAACGCATGTCAATGGATGATGGCCAACATTCGAACAGGGATCTACCTCCTTATTCGGTTGCTAATGGGGGAGGGCCTAGCTCAGAATGGAATATGAGTGTTAAAAGGGAAACCAATATGAGTATGGACATTGATCAAAAGGACGACGTCCGTTCAAATCACTCATCTCCTTCGAGTATATCTTATCACTACGGAAATCATCCCATCAAACCGGAAAGAAGTGTCTCGCGGGGCATGATTGATGTTAAGAGAGAAGAGAATTCTCCATATTCACATATAAAGTCTGAAGTCGAGGATAGGCCTTATGCTAGCATAAAGCGTGAGGAGGCTTCGTCGTTACCGAATTCATCTTTTCTAGGCTCTTCGTCGATGAAAATCCGCGATTTGTTGAATTGACGGTGTATTGGAAACTTAATAAATGAGTAAATAAATATTGTAATATATCGAAAACTCGCTTCATTTCTTTTCTTTTTTTTTTTTTTAAAACCTCATTCTACTGCATTTCACCCTTCTTCTATTAAGATTATAAATTATTCTTAAATCTGATGGACTATTCTAATTCATTTTAACCAACTTAAACCCGCGAGCTATTCCACTATATTCTTTTCGAAACACCGATTTTACAAAATTACATACATGTTTATCCATTCATCTTATATGTTTATAACGCAATTTCCAAAAAAAAAAAAAAAAATTCGATAAAAATTAGCCTCATTATTTCTATTTAACTATCTTTTCACATCTAAACTTAATTGTAAATTTTATTTTATATCTTTATTATTTATTTTTATACTTTTTTTTTATATA